TTGTAGATGCTGATTGGGGAGCTTGTTTAGACACTCAGCGGTCTTTCTCTAGATTTGGTGTCTTCCTTGGCGATTCTTTGATTGCCTGGAAATCCAAGAAACAAGCCACTGTCTCTTGTTCATCTACCGAGGCCGAATACCGTGCTCTTACTACTGTTGCAAGTGAATTGATTTGGATCAGTCATATTCTTAAGGATTTACGTATTGATTTCCCTTGACCTGCTTTGGTTTATTGTGATAATCAAGCTGCTATGTCTATTGCTTCGAATCCTACCTTCCACGAACGTACTAAACACATTGAGATTGATTGCCACTTTGTTCATGATCGTATTAATGCTTGTTTCTTGAAACTGCTTCCAGTTCGGACTTCTTCTCAGCTCGCCGACATATTTACTAAGGATGTTTCCGCTACTGTTTTGCAGTCTTTTTTGTTCAAGATGGGTCTTTGCAATTTACACACTCCATCTTGAGTGGGTGTATTAAGATTATGTAACTGCAATTGGTTATTCAAATCTATTGGTTTAGTTAAGTTAACGGTATGATTACTTCTTATATTTGTATTTATACGAGAGAAACAAGTTGTACAGATAGTGTGGTGATATTAATAAAAATCACTTCTTCCTCTCTCTCGACCTTATAATTGGTTTGCAGCATACAAGTTTCGAGAGAGAAGAAAAGAATAATTGTAGGAAGAGAGAAAAGAAATAGTGATTTGAAAATAAGTAAAAATTTAAAGTTAAAGTGAGATAACCAAAGCATAGAAATCTTAAGTTTTAAAAAATCGAACAAAATTTAAGTGGTCCTGTTTGAAAATCGACACAGTCAAATTTCAAATGAACATTCATCTAATTTGCTATGCTCCATATAAACACAAATAATATTGATACAAGAAGCAAAATAAAATCTAATTAAACCACAATTCCCTCAAATTGAAATGAAAGAATCAATTAACAGGAATTTCCAAATAATAAATATAGCCACTAAACAGTAAACACATACACAAGACAATAGAAAAATGCAACTAAAAGAAAAGTCATACAAATTGAAAATCAAATATAAATAAAAGACATCCAAAAGCTCAAAATCAAAATCAAATACAGTTAAAAGAAAATGAACAAAAGAAACTCATTTGATTCATAAATCTTGACATTTAACATCCACACAACAACATGAATTTTCCCAATCATTCCATCACAATCAATCTTAAAAGTAAGAAAACAAAGTAGAAGTAGTTCATGCATCCATCCTTCCTCTGCCTGACCAACCTGACCGACTTTTGTCGTGTCTTGGAACAGCGATTTTTCCGCCAGCCAGCTCAGAAGATCATCAGCAGCAGCAGTATCAGAAACCAAGATTACTCGAAAATGGTGAGAGAGGGAGTGAAGAACACTGCACGTGTGACTCTGGTACCTTCGTACCACCCCCAACCCCACCATATATATGTATTTTTTTAGTCATTTCCACTCAGGAATCACAGCACAGATCTCTAGTCTTACGAGTCAAATCATTAATGCCCTCTCTACAATATCTCTCTCAATCCCTCTCTCCGTTATAATTACGGAGAGAAGTATCCACTTTTCATTTTTTAGTTGAGATCACAGTAACAGTGTTCGAACTACGGTAATACTATTCCTATCTAGTAATTTTAATGGGGTTGATTGGTAATTTAACAATGCCAAGAAAAATATTGGTGAACTATTGATATGAATCAATATTTTTTAAGTCCTCTGGAGAATGGCGCTTGCGCCATTCAAGATCCTGACTTTTTAAGCTCATCGATTTGAGTGGAATCCCATTTTTTATCCGATACTTGTTTGAATTTTTAGACTCTAATACCATATCAATATTTGTGGGTTCTATCTCAACACTAATTGACAATAAAATAGTAGTCCACTCATATTATAAATTCTTGTTGGATCTATTGTCTTTTCAGCGTGATATCCTTAACAAATGTATAATCTACTTTAAGATCTAAAGTTCAAGCCGTGCACTGATCACAACGAGTCTCGATTATAAAATCCGAGATTGGAATCATCTCTGGAACTAAAGAAAAAAGAAAAGAAGACCTTTTTCACCATCCCTTTTCACCACTGTCGGCGACACCCTAGAGAGAGAGTGAGAGAGAGATCTCATTTATGTTGAGTAATATTCAATTCATAAAAGCTTAGCTGTGTTTGTTTGTACTTTGTCTTTCCAAACAGCCGGCACTCGTATCTCATTTCTCGATATTATCCCTCCCCTCTCCTTCCACACACCTTCCTAAAGAAAAGGAAAAAAAAAAAATCAAACTCTTAATCTCTAATATATATATAAATCTCCCTCAAACCCCAAAATGAAAATCCCCATCAAAATTAACTCAATTTTCTCTCAAAAAAATGGCACTTTTTTCATCATCATCATCTTCTTCTTCTTCCCAGTCGGAAGCAATAATTTCCCCAAGAAAGCTTCGATCTGACCTCTACTCCTATTCCTACGGCCAAGATTCCGAAACCCCATTAGTGATCACTGTTCTTTCTTCCCTTATCGAGAGGAGTATGGCTCGGAACCATCGGATTTCCAAAAACTACTGTACCAAATCCAAATGGGCTTCCCGCCGACACTCGGCGCTCGTTTTCGACTCCGGTGAGGCTCCCGACATGTCGATTCAGTCGTACTTGGAAAGAATTTTTTGCTACACCAGAGCTGGCCCTTCTGTCTACGTTGTGGCTTATGTTTATATTGATAGGTTTTGTCAGCTCAATCCTGAGTTTCGGATCACTCTTAGGAATGTTCATAGGCTGCTTATTACCACCATCATGGTCGCCTCTAAATATGTCGAAGACATGTAAGTTTTTAACTATTTTATATATGATCTGTGTTTTGTTCATGGTTTGGGATCTTTAAAATTGGATTCATGTTGCTTTTTGAGGCTTCAGCTTCTGGGGTTTTGTATTGAATTCAAGTGTTTTGATGATCTCATTGTATCTAGTGCCAACTTGAGATAGTTCAACTGAATCAGTCTTGAATCAGTCTTGTTTGTTGTAGTAAAACAAATGTTTAGGTCGGAGGATTTGAAAATTTGAATTTTGGCCAAAAGGACTATTCTCAAAAAACCCGTTTATATTGATTATCACTGGTTGGGATTTGAATTAATTTAAGTACTTAAAAGGGAGAGAAGTTTTTGGGCTGAGTGGTGTATTAACATTTTTAATGTACATGTTTTTGGAACAGGAACTACAGAAATTCATACTTTGCTAGAGTTGGGGGATTGACAAGGAAGGAGATGAACCAGTTGGAGCTGGATTTTTTGTTTATGATGGGATTCAAATGCCATGTAAATGTGAGTGTGTTTGAGAGCTATTGTTGCCATTTAGAGAGAGAAGTTAGCATTGGAGGAGGTTACCACATAGAGAGGACATTACGATGTGCTGAAGAGTTGAATAACTCTAAACAAAACCAACAAACCACATTCAATCAAATGCCTCGTATTATGTTGTAGACATCGAATTAAACTTTTTCGGACCATTTTTTAGTTCAACAATACGTAAGATTGGAAGATTTGAACATCTATATCGAAAATATATATCTTAATCAATTTGACTATTTTCATGTTGGACATTCAATTAAAGTCGATGAAGGCCGATGACGAGTAAAGTCTATACCTTTTTTTCTTTTTTTCTTTTCAGGGTCTTTCAAATGATTCCAAGAGTGCTTCCTTTTGTACAGTTGTGAGCTATATATATATATATATAAATATGTGATGGTTTTCTTTAGAATCATTGCTATATTTGCCGACACTTGCTTGTTTTTTGTTTTAAATTCTAAGCCTCTATGCCGATTTAATACTATATATTATTGAAAAGGACAAGTTTGGAGAGATATTTTTGGATCGTTGTCTTCTTTTTCTTTATCTTTTATAAATCTCTCTCCTAGGTGATGTTGTTAATAGTAATTTATTACCAATAACCAATGGAATTATTTATTAGTTAGATGATATTAAACATTCAGGTTTAGTTCAACAACATTTTGGAGTGAACATTCGAACAAAACTAATTCAAGAAATTTCTGACACAAAGTATTCCAATTGATTCGAATTTTTTTATTGTTGAATTGGGATGGAGATAAAAAAACTCTTCTTTTGAAGAAGCTTCCACATCCTTTGTTGAAGTAATTATTGTTCTTACCAAAAAATGATCGGTAGTCACAATTAATCCTGAGAACACTCGTGGAATTGAACCTGCAAAAACAAGTAATCACTCTGTTTTTATCGGATGACGTGTCCTTTAGGATTTTATGGTTAAACAATTATAAATAGTTTGGTTCGAAATTTCTTAAGAATAGACTTTTTAGTACAATATGTGGGGTGGAGGATCGAACTCGCAATCTCTTAGTTGGAGATATATGCTAATTACCGTTGAGCTATACTCTATCTTTTAACAGAACTATTTGTACATTGTTGAATAGAAATAAAGAATGCCAAATTTTCATTATTTTGTTGGCAGTGGAATGTTTGCAAATGGATTTGTTCAACGATATAAAAAAAGATTATAATAATGTTATAAAAGAATAAGTAAAATATTTCATTTTAATCTATGATATTATGGGTTCAAGTTTGGCATTTATAATCAATGATAAATTAATTAACTTTGAACAAAATAAAATTCTAAGTATTATCCAATAATAGTATACAGATTATCCAAGAGATTCCACATTAAAAAGATGAGTACTTAACAAGAGTTTATAATAGACATAAATTATCCCTCTCATAGTCAATTGATTTTGAGTTGAAACATTATGTATATTAGTATGGTATAGAGCTCAAAACACTCCAATGAACCTCGCCTCCATGAGACCTAACAAGAATTTATAATATAAATTAATTAAAAGTTTCTCAACATACTAAAAAAATTTAAATAAAAGTTTCTCCACAAACTGTTCCCCACCCATCTTAAGACATGCACCTAACCCAAAATTATGAGAGACATAATCACTTATATTATTAATTAATTTAAATGAAATAATAATAAGTGGACAAACGCTGTTTGTTCAACAAATCAAATCATTTTTAAGAAAGCTTTAATTTTTTTTTTCTTTTTTTTTTCTTTATCGTGGAGCTATGATATCAACATTGGTCAACCTCTATCTTGAATTTAACTGAACTTCGAATTCTCACCTCTACATGTTATACTAAAAAAAACATGGGTCAACCGTAATTTTTATATTTCTATTTACTATATTGGACTTTATAAATTCCAAAACAGCTAGACGTTTTTTTATGAGGCTAAAGGGCTTTCTAAGAGTCATCTATAAAACCAATTTGAATAGAGCTCGAGTGATTAACTAAAACACCAGAACTTTTAATCTCTGCCCTAGTATGTTGAACGGAAAAAAATTTATTAGAGCAATAAATGTTCAATTTTCTGTTTCTTTACACGAATTTCTCCTTTCTTTTATTTTTATAATTTTTATTTATGCTAAATATATAATTTAATAATTTTGTTTTTAATATTTTAGAAGTCTCAAATTATTTTTTTGTAAATTGCTTTTTAATTATAATTTTAGTCTTTATAATTCATTCTATGCAATAATTTGGCTTAATCTCTCAAAATGTCCTTGGATTTACCAAAGGTAGCCATTTTTCTTATTTGTCACAATATTTAATAAGTCAACCACCAAAAAGAAAAAAAAAAAGTATATCACATGTTCAAAGAAAACATGCCAATAGGCAATAGTAAAATTGTTAACTTTCGGTAATGCTGCAGGGGTTTTTCTTTTTTAATATTGTTCCAAATGAAACCTATTTTAAAAATACAGTTGTTTAATTAAAAATATTGTAGGTTTTGAAACTTATTTTAAAAATATTTTAGTTTTAAAAAACAGAAGGTTGGTCTTTTGTTTAGACGTGGCGCCACGTAAATTTTTTTAAAAAAACTATTTAGTGGTGTAGTGGATGTACCATGTTATTATGGTAACAGTACACCCACTGCACCACTAAGTAGTTTATAATATTTAAACTACTAAATAATATATAATATAACAAATTTTATTTATTTTTTTCTAAAAATGAACCGACCGGATGTAGAGACGACGACCATCCCATATGGACGACCACCTCCTAAATTTAAAACAGATTTACGTGGCGCCACGTTGCATGGTCGTCTCTTGAAGAGACGACCATGTTGGTTGGTCGTCTCTGACCACCCTTCACTTTTTTAAAACTACTGTATTTTTAAAAAAAGTTTCAAAACATACCATATTTTAAACATTTTTAATTAAAATACAATATTTTTAAAATAACTTTTATTATTAACATTATTAATAAAAAACACCCATGCTATAGGTGTCCTGGGAAGTTTGTTGCCACGTTGCAATACACATGCAATTTTTTTATAATAAAATAAATCTTAATATCAATTTAATTATATTTCTTATAAAATATAAGTTGTTTAAAAAATAGCATGTTGCCTCAAAGAAAAAAAATTATGTAATACCAATATATATTATTAATTTTTTGTGCACTATAAATGATTATTTATTTTGTTAAAATAAATAGAGTGAATTATTCGTTATATATTACATTATTATTATTATTAGATCAATCAAAAAAGAATGTTCTTAGATTCGAATAAAATTAACATGTTAAAAATCAAATTAACAAATTTTTAGCATGACTACACCTTTGAAATATAAAAAGTAATTACATCCACTTTTAAAAAGTTTTTAGTAAGTTTTTAAAGTTCTAGTGAATTTTGGATTTATTGGACTGATTCCTTACTTTCCAATTATTTATAGACCAAATACAAAATTGAAAATTTAGACACCTGATGTACAATTTTAAAATTTAGAAATCCACTACAAACAAAATAAAGTTTCATGTCTTTATTAGACAATTTTAGTGTTCAAAAATCTATTAAACACGATACTCCAAGTTTTAGAGAATAAACTTATGATTTAATCTACTTTTATAAATGAATTTAGGAATATGTTTCTATTTAATTCCTATATTTAAAAAACTAAGAGTCTGGTCTTTGACTTTTGTCCATTAATGTGACCAACGAAATGATGACGTGGCAATAGTAAGATGACAAATTTTATATGATATTACAATATTTACTCCTCTTATATTGTTTTTAGCTGATGTGGCATGTTTTTCCATTCCCTCGTCTCTCTCTTCCCTCCTTCTCTGATACTGCATTTCTTCATCCTTAGCAGTACCGTTTATACGGATCATTGAACAGATTGAACCCTCCGACGAACACTATCGTTGCCGGAAACCTCAACGCAGATAAGCCTATTGATTTCAGGTCGAAAATGTTGGCTGCAGGATGGTCCCAATCTAATCCTTTCGATTAAATGGTCATCGACTCATTGACCACGGACGGATCCGGAACTTTTGTTTAAGGATACGAATTTAAATTAAAAATTATATAAAAGAATAATAATCAAATTTCGAAAACTTGATAATTTATTAGAGAGGACAAAAATACTATACAAAAATAAAGAAGAAATATAACATTTCAAGATGGATCTGTCCCATAAAAATGGAAATCAATCCTAAGTCACACCATATTTGTCCCCTAAAAATGGAAATCAATCCTAAGTCACACCATATTCGAATCATATCATAAGACAAAAAAAATACTCTCATGTGATGATCACAAAATAAATCTCATCTTATTTTAGTGATCCAAAGCAGAAGTATTTATATCCTTCTGCCAAAATATAGTTTGATAAATACAGAGACTCCCAAACTATTCAAAACAGAATTACTAAACTCATAACAGCATACTGATATATTTAACTAAACTATCCTCTCAGTAACTAATTTGCAACTTAATGAGCTGTCTTAATACCCCCTCAAGCCAATGGAGCAAGGAGACACTACATTGAGCTTGGATTTAAGAGGCAAAAAACTAGCAGCAGAGAGAGGCTTTGTAAACAAGTCTACAACTTGAGCTGAGGCTGGGAGATGACAAACAAGCAATTTCTTCTGAAGAACCAAATCCCGAACGAAATATATATCCAACTCGACATGTTTGGTTCGGGAATGGAGAATTGGATTTGCACTGAGGTGAACAGCCCCTAGATTATCACACCACAGCGTAGGGGATCGAGGAAGAAACAAGTGCAGATCAGAAAATAAGGATTGAACCCATATCAAATCAGTAGCAGCATGTGCTAGGCTTCAGAATTCAGCCTCAGTACTGGAACGGGAGATAATAGGTTGTTTCTTCGAAGACCAAGTAATAAGGTTGCCTCCCAAGTATATACAAAACCCGGATGTGGAGCGTCGGTCATCAGGATCCGACACCCAATCTGAATCTGCAAGAAGATGAAGATCAATAGGCTTTCGAAGATATAGTCCATGATCAAATGAACCTTTAAGATAACGAAGGATTCATTTAACTGCTTGCCAATGAAGAGTAGTTGGAGCATGCATGAATTGACACACCTTGTTAACGCTATATGCCAGCTCAGGACGTGTAATGGTGACATATTGTAGAGCTCCAACCGTACTACGATACAAATGCGGATCAGCAAATTTCTCACCTTTAAAAGCAGACAAAACACTGCCACTAATCATTGGTGTAGCAATTGGATTGGACTCATGCATTTTTGTCTTATGAAGGAGGTCAGAAATATATTTAGATTGACACAAAAATAATCCTCCAGCCTCAGGATATGAGACTTCGATGCCCAGAAAGTAACTCAAAATTCCAAGATCCTTAATAGAAAATTGAGCATGCAAAGCAGCCACAAGACTATCAATATCAGATTGAGAGCTACCCGTTATTATCATGTCATCCACATAAACCATAACATAGCAATGAGAGGAAGCAGTATGTCTAACCAAAAGTGAGGTATCAGCCCGAGAGTTAGAGAAGCCCAGAGTATGTAAAAACTGACTTAGTCGATCAAACCACGCCCGTGGTGCTTGCTTCAACCCATATAAAGCTTTATGGAGCTTGCAAACCAAAGGAACAGTACCAGAAACTTCCACCTATGGTTGGGCCATCAAGACATCTTCCGAAAGAAAACCATGAAGGAATGCATTATTGACATCAACCTGTCTCAAAGACCAACCATTAGAGAGAGCAAGAGTCAGTAATACCCGAATAGTAATAGGTTTCACAACTGGACTAAACGTTTCAGTGTAATCAATATCAGCTGCCTGATGAAATCCTTTGGCTACAAGACGAGCCTTATAGCGAGCAATTGTGCCATCTAAATTTCGTTTAATCTTATAAACCCACTTGCATCCTATGACTTTCTTATCAATGGGGCGAGGGACTAGAGACCACGTTTGATTACGTAGAAGAGCCTCATATTCCTCTTTCATAGCTACCCGCCAGTGTTCACAATGTAAAGCCTCATTGACTGTAGGAGGTTCAATTTCCAGATACTGACTAAAAAATGCCTTGGGTTTGAATATCCCATTTTTGGATCGAGTAACCATAGTGTGTGTATTGGAAGGGGGCAGAGAAGGAGCAGTCTCTAAAACTGGAACATTAGAGTTTGGAGGAGGTGAAGGTGGAGGTGGAGATAGAGGTGGAGGTGGCAGAATAGGACTGGTAGGAGACATAGGTGCAGCAGGTATAGAAGGATTGGATATTAAAGGAGGAGTGGCAGAGGGAGAAGAAGAAGAGGAAGGAAAATTACAATCAGGAGTTGAAGAAACAATTGGGATAGAAGAGGAAAAACTAGAAGAAGAGGCAGTAGCGAAAGAAGGAAATAGTTTTGAAAATGGAAAACATTGTTCATCAAACCGAACATGTCGAGATATATACAAACGCCCAGTAGAAGCGAGACATTTGTAACCTTTATGATGAGAACTATAACCAAGAAAAAGACAAGGAATAGATCGAGATTGGATTTTATGATTATTGTAGGCACGAAGGGAAGGAAAACATAAGCAACCAAAAGTCTTCAAGAATGAATAATCAGGGGATGGCCAAACAACTTTTCAGTAGGGGAAAGTCCATGAAGAGCCGTAGTGGGAAGTTTGTTAATGAGATAAGCAGCGGTGGAAAAAGCATCATCCCAGAAGGACAACGGAATGGAAGCTTGAGATAAGAGCGTAAGACCCATATCAACAACTTGACGATGTTTTCTTTCGACAAGGCCATTTTGTTGTGAAGTATATGGACAGGACATGCGATGTTCAATACCATTGTTTTGAAGAAAAGGAGCAAAGGAACGAAATTCACCACCACCATCCGTTTGAAGACGGAGAATGGAACAGTTCAGGGATTTTTCAGAAAGATTTTTAAACAATAAGAAGGCTTGAAAGACTTCAGATTTATTATGCAGAAAATAAATTCATGTATAACGAGAATAAGCATCAACAAAGCTAATGAAATAGCGAAAACCATTGCGTGAAGACACAAAGGCCGGACCCCATAAATCTGCAACAACCAATTGGAGTGGAGCATGATATTGGGTTTGAGAGGATTGAAAAGGGAGATTATGAGATTTAGCTATAGCACACGCATGACACAAAGAATGTATTTTATTTGAAGAAACAGAAATATTACATAGACGCAATACATGTTGAACAGTAGAGAAAGCCGGATGACCTAATCGTCTATGCCAGATATCTAAAGCAGAAGAATTACAAACAATAGGAGAATGCAACATAGGAGAATCAGAAAAATTTAAGGTTGTAGTAAGAACAGTGGAAGAATCATTACAGGGAGAGGGATGACTCAAACTGACATTGGATAAAGGTGGAGATGAAGCCTTTTGCAACTCGAATTGGTATAACCCTTCATGAACTTTCCCTTGAAGAAGCAGCTGGCCAGTTTTGATATCCTTCACAAAACAATGAAAAGGATGAAATTAAAAAAATACCTGATTATCTTGAGAGAATTGACTGACGCTAATTAAGTTTTTGGCAGTTTGAGGAACATGTAAGAGATTTCGCAAATGAAAGACAGGTTTGACAGGATGTAAAGAGGTTTTTGGTTGAAGATAGGTAGAGCCAGTGTGAGAGATGTCCAAACCTGTCCCATTTCCAACTTGAATTTTACCATCACCATGATACTCAGATCCAAGTGAGAAGTTTCCAAATTCATTTGTAACATGATTAGTCGCCCCAGAGTCTGGGTACCAATTAGAGTCTCTGTTGAAGTCTTGAGCGACCATCAATGCTTGCATCTGTGAAGGAGAAGCACTATTCATGGAAAAATTTCCATTCTGAGTAGCAGGCGATGAGAAAGCATTGTGACTTCTCATATGGATGATCACAAAATAAATCTCATCTTATTTTAGTGATCAAAAGCAGAAGTATTTATATCCTTCTGCCAAAATATAGTTTGATAAATACGGAGACTCCCAAACTATTCAAAACAGAATTACTAAACTCATAACAGTATACTGATATATTTAACTAAACTATCCTCTCAGTAACTAATTTGCAACTTAATGAGCTGTCTTAATATCATATACTCATAAAGAGGACAATAACATCCCAGTCCAAATATAATTTAAATGGACCATAAAAATGGAAATCTTCCTTATAAAATCTGATTTTTTTTTTTATCAAAAATATCCTACATAAAACCGACAAATTTAATTTGAAATCAAACATAACCTTGAATAAACTCATTCAGATTTTAATAGCTACAAATTTAATTGAAACAGCTCAAACAAAGCACAATTTAAGCTGCAACATTAGTTATTGTCATTTAAAATAGAGAATTAAGGAAAAACTTGTGAGAATCATGAAAGCAAATTAGGTCAAAATATAGATATTTTAGATTTAATACATGGATTCAGTTTTATGGTAATACATTTAATGGCCTCACAGACATTTACTATAAAAGCACACCATTTACATTGATACTGTATTATACCTTCAAAGCAATTTCTACTATATTCTACCGTACAATCAAACCAAAATGGCCAAAGTAGAAGTTATTTTCTTGGTCTTCATAGCCTTCCTCGTCTTGTACTCAGGTTCGACTTCTCTTTAGAGTGAGTTTAATCATAAGTATGTTTAGAAAAAATGTCCTCTAAAATTGTTCTAAAGTTTATTTTTTTCTTTTTGACGTATTCTATAATTTAGTTAAATCAATATGTTGATATATTTATAGTAGCTCAAGTTTCGCTCAATTTGTTCTTATAATTTTTTAAAATTTCAACCGCGAAAAATCTTATTTTGTAATATGATTTTTCTTTGAGGTGGCAAATAGAGAAAAGGAATAGAGAAAATCCAAAATGATCTCATGATCCAACTTTTTAATATAACTAGTATTTTAAATACGTGTCTTGCACGTGATATTTTAATTTTATTTCATTATATATTAATATAATATTTAATTTTTAAAAAAATTGAACATCTATCAAATATTATAGTCATTTATATTTATCAAAATATAAATAATCCATAAAATAGTAAGTGTTTTTTATGATATAATTTGATAATTACTTATTATTTTTAAAGTTTATCCATAAGTATTAAAATAAATAGTTCATCATTTTATTAAATCAATTATTTTATATATTTACAATAAATTTATCTACTCCATCTTTATTTTAATTTCTTCCGTCGTTACATGTTACCTACTTAATTTTACAATAAGAAAATTACACATGAAGATAGAAAAAAATTAAATATTACAATATTTTAAAATTTTACTCGCAATTTGATTTGTCAAACCAAACGTTGTATTAAATTTTGTAATATAGATATAGATATAGATTATATTATATAATATAACATTTAGATTATTATATAATATATTTTATCTATTAAAAAAATTATTGTTTTATTAGAAAATTATATTTTAAATTTAAATTATTAAATTTTGTCTAAATATTCAACTATAAATATAATTAAAATTTTTTATAAATAAAAATTTATGAATTTTAAAAACCAATATTTCGATTATAGGAGGTAGCCTGATTTATTTTATTTTCTATTTAGAATAATAATAATTTAAAAATTATCCAAAGATAGTTTAACAATTATCCAAGATATTAGTGATCATTAAAATTATTGTGTTCCTAATAATTATTTAGTAATTTTTAAACTAAGAACTATTTTAAAAAATATTGTCTTTTAAATACTATTTAAATTAAAGAGATTATATTTATTTAACCTTTTATTTTACTATAAATATAATTAATCATCTTCAAATGAAAAATTATGAATTTTAAAAGTCAATATTTTTATTGAAAATTGTAGGTGTTTTGTTATATAAAAAGTCAATGCCAATATTGTATAAAGTCATTACCACATACATTGCACATTATACTTTTTATTTTATTTCATTTTAAAAATAACAAATTTGATTATATTATTTAAAATTAAGTATTTGACAAATTTAGTTTTATAATTTTTAATTAGTTTCTTTTTCGTATTTTTTAAACAGAGTATAATTTTAAAATATGAAATCATAAGTAATTTATTATTTATATTATCAAAGTTTTAGTTTTTTATATTATTATTGCAATGATATTAATTAATGGTGTATAAATATAAAATTTAAATTACTTCAATTATTTATTTTTCAAATCCAACCCATCTTTTAGTTGACCATTAAATTTTCTTAATTATTTTGTTACCTTAAAAATGTTATCATTGTGGTCTAACAATGAAATTTATTTTCAAACAAAGTTATAAGGATGAAGATACATATTAATTTTATCTTTTTATTTTAAATAAAATATTTTTAGAAAAAGGTAAATTTGTTTCAGTAAAATTATTTTTTTATATTGCATTTATAAAAAAAATTATTTAATGTTCATCGAAAGTATATCATAAAATAAAATAATAGGATAGTTTTTTTTCACATTAGAAAATAAGAAAATAAAACCTTAATCACGTCGTATTTAAATAAAATAGACAACCTATAAATTTTTTAATAAAACATTTTTAAAAAATAATGATATTAACATTAACTAAAAAATAGTCGTAACTTAAAAATAACAATAGTGAACAACAAAATCAAGACATATTATCCTATATTTACTTTGTTTGGGGAGAGAATACCCTGGACACATGGAGGACCTCTATTGGTGCTCCAAGATGACTCATGAGTCATGTCCAGCTCGGACGGCCGAGATCACCACAACTAGTGTTGACAGATGCTAAGTATGAGGGCCGAGGTGAACCTGGCCGAGGTCCGACCTACCGGGAAGCTAGGTGGGGGCCGATGTGAGCTACTGTCAGCGGCGTGATTATCGGGTGTAACCGTCGGTCCCGAGATTACCGGGTGTAACCGTCGCGAGATTAGCGGGACTACCACCCATAAGTAGTGGACCTCACTCCGCGATCAGGTACGATGATTTCTGACCTCGAACTAAACTGGGAATCCGACCTATACTGACTTGATCGTCGGAGTGCTCACCTTTTTATGCAGGTCCGCCCAAGTATTCAGATCGGTCCGGAGGCCAAGTTCGAGCTGCAATCTGAAATACACTGTTGTGCATATCCTTGCATAAACATTTGGCGTCGTCTGTGGGGAAGACAATCTAAGTCATCCCAATTCTTTTAAACCAACACGCAAGCGAAAATAGTTCAACCCGCAAACT